TGCAGAAGAAAAGGTCAAATGTGGCTTTCAGATCAAATAATAAAATCATCAGCAAGATCTATACGCAAAGCAGGGAAGGGATTCACAGAAAAATACAAAGACAAGCTAATTTAAAATCGAGGCCTGCAAGAATTCTCAAAGGTCATCCAGTCTATCCTTCTGGCACAAGATGATTACATCAATTTAGACAGTTACTTGTCTAACCTGTTTTTCAAGGCCTGCAATGACGAACTGCACACTTTCCAGATGATATATCACAATGCTTTAGCATTTGTTTCTGTATTTCCCTTCCTGACATTTGATCACATTCTTCTCTTTGCACTTTTAAGAATTCCCTGTTTACTCTCTCCATTATGGACGGAGAAAAGTTTATTTTCCCTTACTGTAATTTTGTTGAACACTTGAGTTCAATCTTTCTTCTCCTCAGAGATGATTTGTTTTAGACTGCTGATAGCTCTCTGTTTTCTTCTTGGTCCTTTCCTCCATCTTTTCAGGTCTCTGTGGGAATGTACAGCCTGCACTCAAATGCTGTACATCAACATTAAATACATCACTAGGTCTTCGTGGGAATTCCCTTTGCACTATCAAATAACGATTTCCCCTTTTTGCAGTAACTCACCAAATACTTCATTGTCCTCTGACGACTGCTGTGTTAGTCTGGCTGCTTTCGGGCTCTCCTTAGCTGCTTCCTCCACCTTGGTTTCAGCATTCTGTAAAACAAGCATTTACTGAGATTAGTCCTTTTACAGCTCTCAAATAGAAACACTCTTCAAACTTCTTAATTACATTCTTAATGAATACAGGTGGTTTTCTTATCTTGATACACACTGTGGTTTTGAAAAATATTACGGCAAAATACTCTCAGAAAACCCTGATTTTTTTTAAATCTGTTTTAATTTGACTAGACTAAATAAGTTGGAGAGTTAGAAAAGACATTTAAACAAGAGAGAGATCTTAAACCATAACAGACTTGTACGTTTCCACCTTTCCTCCTCATATTTAATTTTATTTCTAATGACATATTCCATGTAGACTTAGTGAACCAAGAGATCAGAAGATAGAACACAAGTATTTCTCATTACACAGCAAAGGCAAGTGAGCTAGAGCTTCAAGTGTTTAACCAATTCGTGTACTTGACTGTTTAAAGCACAAGGACTTATCTATTTCTGAAAGAAATCTGCCAATTTGGTGTTAGAATGGGCCCAGAGATAAATCAACAGCTTCAGCACTTAACTTGCCAGAAGTTAAAACATTTAATTCCCTAGCTAGAAAAGTCTGAGGGAACCACAAGATGTGAAACATTGAGTTTTAAATATTTATATTGCTACTAAAGAAAAAACAACTCATGTTTTAACAATGTTTTATTTTAGTCTCAAGAGAAACATACACAAGCAAAGCAGACAGTAAATTGCATAAGCAGTCAGCTGTTGAATGATGGATATGAAATGACTGATACAATATTAAATATTACTGGAAAGAGTTGACTAAGAATTGGGGGAGAAATAAAAGAGAAATATTTCATGCCTGTGCTTTTTAAAGGATACATATTGCTCTATTCAAGTACATGCTCCTTTGGAAGACTTTGTGTGATGTTTTGAGAAATACAATTTTTAAACTGTCATATATTTGAAAAGGCTGCTATACAATCTGTTCATGAAAAATTACCATCTCTGCTCTCAGAAACATAGCAGACTTCCAACTCTTATTTTCCCTTATTATTAACAATAAGGAAAGTGTCAGAAGATAGATTAAGTCTGTTAATCTCCCTATAGAACAGAGGAGTGCAAACTTAAGGCACATAAACTCAAGAGACTTCGAAGCAAGAGATCAAGGATTTTCAGAAAGAAAGAGCTAGCAAGCCTACTGGTGTCACACAGCAGCTGACAAGAATTGGGAATAGCAGAGACAGAGAAACTGCCTCAGAGGAACAGTGCAGGTCCTTCCTGAATTGGGAAGGATGTGCAAAAGCAAAAAGGATTCTGCACTCCCTCAAGGCACCAAGCTGAGTGTGTCCCATGCAGAAAAACAGGTATCAGCTCGGTACCTCTCAGAGCTGAGCAGGGAAGCCAGTTTTAGCAGACGCACACCTAAGTCTGGCTTAACTAGTGTCCCTTGGGAAGATGGAGGGACCCAGTCAGAAACCAGTAGTGGCAATACTGGGAGATATCTTGCTTTGGGTAAACAACTTCATGATCAGCACAATTAACTGAAGTCCTGTCCCCAGCGATACATTCTGTCAGTTGTGCAGCCACAGTTTGCAACGCTGTCCACTTGGACAAGGGACATCTGCTAAGGGCTGTGCTGGTTGACAGGATCACCTGCATTTAGAGGCCACTGATTCTGTAAGCTCCATGTTGGACTCGGGTTCTCCATTCTATTTTAGTTGCTCTAGAGTGAGCAGCAAATCAACAGTTACATCTTTGTTGTACAGAGAAATGGAGAACAGCAGTCAACTCTGAAAAAAAGCAGAAGAGGACATCTGCTACAGCAGGGTAAGTCAGTCCCAGAGGCAAAGACAAACAGTAAAAATTCCATCATCATGGATGAGACAAAATTAATACATTTAGGGCTTTCCCAAATGAAGGGGGACAGCCGAACTCCTGATCAGAGCTATTGCTCTAGGCTTGCCAAAGACAGTGCTTGTTAGCTCCATCTTTAATTGTATTTCATTATATTTAGTGTATGGTAAAGCTGGTGGTACAGGAAGAGAGGGATTGTTCTTTATGCTCTCGTTCCTCTTGGGAAACAGCTGAAAGTCTGTAACTGCTGCAAGGCATCAAGAGCAGCAGCAACAAAACTGTGCAGCAGACACTCAGCTGTGCCTGTGACACGTGCTGTCACTCCAAGCTTCTACTGGGGAGATGTTTGCATCCCTTGCTTTGAAAATAGGGCTTTGGCAGTCTCAGGGAAGTTAGAAAGACTGAACCCTGAGACATTTTGGTTTGACTTAAATCACTGGAAAGAACTGCACAGCAGCTGTGCTGTCTGCTCTCTGTGTAAGACATATTGTTGTGTTGACAGATGCCAGCTCCAAGATGCTGACAGCAAAGTTGTGTGATGTATCAGCCTAAAATATGACAGTGTATGGTTGGATATAATTCTGCTTGGCATGCCTTCTTAACCAAAAGGCAAACTTTCGAAATACTTCTTTTGCTTTATTTTTTGCACAGAAGAATGTATTCAACACGTTATTGCTGGCATATATAATACCTGTATTACCAAAAGCAAGACAAGACATATCACTGCAAAAGAACCATCAATGATCCAGATGCTCCAAACTGAGCTGTATTGAAAAAAAGTCAAGATTTGGTCAGTTGCTTGATTCTTTTTTCTAGAGTCCTAAAAATTTTTAAGTGTCTCCATCTTTGCAATCAATGAAAAGAAAAAGTGAAAACACATTCCCTTACACTGCCTGAGCTGTGCCAGAAGAGATTCTTTACCTACAGTTATAGTGTGCTTTAGACTGGTTATAAAATAAAGGCCGTTTGTACATAACAGAGTCAACATAATTCTAACTAGCTCTTTTAGGTTGAGTACTCAATGCAATTTCAGAAGTGATGGGGAAAATTGATGTATTTTACAGTATCAGTTCCCAGGAGAGTAGATAATATCTGATTTTAGCAGGAAATAAATACTGTATAGGCCTAAAATCACAAAAAACTGTCTCCCCCAAAAAGCATCTCCTTGACTACTCATATTTCAAAATACCATAAAATACCTAAGGAGCAAGCCAGCAGCTACTGCATCATAACAACTGGTGACAGACTAGAACCACTTCTATTATTTCACAAAGCAGTTTCAAAATGAGATGTGCATATATACTGCAGCTCTATAGATGTGAATATATACATATATACCTGCTCTTGATTCAGATCTGATAGAAATTAGAATTGCATTATAGTCTGCCTCGGTTTTATAAGACATTTTTGACCCAACTTTCCACTGTAGCTGTCCCCAGGTGCCTCATGACTCACTTCACCAGTTTTCCCACTATCCCGCATGTGCACACCACAGAGACCATATTGCACAACATTTTAAAAGTTTGATAGGTAAATATACGAATAACCAGTAGCTGTCAAAATATTTGCAACAAATGAACAGCAATGTCAAAAATTTTATATATACACCCATTAGTGTCAGAAGAGGCTACTTGTATTTTGTTGCTATCAGTGCCTACTTAGATGATCTTTACTTACATGGGAAATATTAAGGAATCCTGAGTTACAGTGAGCTGTATTCTGCAAGTACTACAGTATCAGGCCAGGTTAAAAAGTGCAGTGAGGCATATTACAATTAGAGAAGCAGCTAAGTCCTCAAGGAATCATAGGCCTTGGAAATGGGAAGTTGTACTCCAGAGAATTCAAGCCAGCTTTTTAACTACATCACCATTTTTGTATACCAGTTAGGAAGGGCTTGTTTCTTTTCCTTTAACCACAAAGCTGTTACTCAATGACTTCATTTTCTAAGCGATAAAACCACACAGAGAAAAGTTAAAACTTCTCATCAGAGATAAAATGATTATTCAAGAAGTGTTATGTCTCAATGAGAATTCAAGAAATCCACTGTGAGGCACAGATTCATATTGTTTGTGCTTTCATTCCTGCCTTTTACAATCTACTCCTTTTTCATATTATATATATTTAGCTAGTATGTTTAGCTTCATTCCAATTGCATGAGTGAAAACAGCCAAAATTTCCTCTCTTTTTCGAAAAAATGCCACACGGGCATCGAAAGCTGCAGCAAGACAACACAGACTGTGAGTGCATGAGCAGCTGCATTGGCAGCAGAGACATTTCTCCAGTTCCTTCTGTTACTCATTCCTGCCCATAGCACATTACCTTCCCTCCACAAAACCCAGCAGCACTGAGGGCACGGTTAAACATTTGATTCTTCCTCTATGCTACACCTACAAAACTAAGGTAAACAACAGGCACCACCTCAAAAGACAGACGAGAGTTCCTCGGGCATAAAACCAGATTTGACTGGCAATAAACCTTCACTTTGAAATAACAGGAAGAGTTAGTTGTTGCAGGCATTAACAATCTGCCTAATCTAAACCATATCCATAGCAGATCATACTGCTCCAGATTCAGCTGAAGAACTCTGCAAAACATTCCTGATTTTCCACTTCTGCAATGATATTCCTCTGAACTCTACGACGCAATGCTACCTTTCATTTAATATTCAATGTATGATTTTCAGGCTATTGTATACCTTCAGGACAATCTATACATGGTCCCTTCTCAGAGATAAATAATTTCCCACAGATTTCCATGGGGGAAAAGTAAGAAAATTCTTTAAAACATGAATATGTGCTCCTTCAAAATGGTGACAATAACAGGACTGAGACACAAGTATAGTAAGTCTGTCAAATGCATGGATTTTTCTCTAAATACCAAATACTGCTGCAATCAGCAGGGCAGGCAGTAAGTCAATCTTAAAAGTAACAATTTCCCAGTAATTTTTGTATTCTGCATCCCCAGATTAAGTACTAACAATGTTGCTGTCATAAAAGCTGGAGGAATTCCTTGTTACTTCTTATTAGACACATCAATCAGTGTCAAAATTTTTAGCTCCTGTTCATTAAAAGGAATATCTACACATACAGCTTAACACATGTCAAACATATGAGATGCTAACAAAAGTAATGGAAAAAGAGAGGGCCAGAGTTTCCAAGGACAGTTTTCTGTTCCTCTTAGCTTCAACATTA